TCTTCGCTCTACCCTCACATCGACATAGTCCGCACCTCCTCTTAACTGACGATTCGGTCATGAGTCGGTGTAGAAGACAGCAATGGAGCTGAAGCATCTGCCACCACTGTTGATGGGGTACTGAGACCTGCAATTAATTTTGTTTTGGTCGGCCTTGCCCAGCCTTCTTCGGAGTTGCAGACGCTCGATGGATGGTCCTGGTTAGAGGCGGCAGAGGTGGTCAGGAAAGGATGGTGCTAATAAAGCCGAAACGTCATTTTTTATAATCTAAATTTATAATATTTTTAAAATTAAAAATAATTATTGATATTTGGTCGGCGGTGGAGGAAAATTAAAAAGAATAATAATTTTTTATTTTTGATAATTTTAATGATGAGGTGGAAAATAAAAAATTAATTTTGTATTATATTTTAATGGACACGTCTCTCATTTAACGATTCAATTATTGGAGTTGACTGCCACATAAGAAAAACTTAACGAAGATTAACGAAGTGTGACCAAACGTGAAATGGTTAACCACTTCCAGTGACCACGAATGAAATAATATACTTTTAGTGAACAAACACAATTTTTTATTACTTCTAGTGACCAAACTTGCAATTTACCCCTTTATTATCTATGCCTTGTTAATTAGTAGATTAGGAAGCTAAGTACTTTTATTATCCAAGTCTTATTTGGAAGTAGGATTAGTTATATATAATGTGTGATTATAAGATGATTATTGGTTGAGAGTATCAAGTCATAAAAATAGGTTACTTAGCGTCTTAGCGAGAAGGAAAATAGCGAAAGATTCTATTAGAATTTGAGTATGAGCATCACCTCATGTAATCATATTCGAAACAAACCCGTAAAAATGCTATATATATATATATATATATTTTCTAAGTCACACAAGACGGAATTTATTATTCATAATCCAATAGATAACATATCAAGCTTCAATCTAGTATACCTAATCATAATCAATATCTTAGTTGTTTTCTCAATTCCCGCCACGGCTAACTGTCCCTTTGAACACATAAATAACCTCACCATTCTGAACACCATGCCACCTCAAGCTGCAATTCTCCCTCATTATCCTCTGCCTATGTATGAAAATGTAGTCATCCCTAGGAAGCCCGCTCTTACTCCTCAACAGAAGCTCCCTCAGATCACTCACAGTCCTCGAATCCTCCAGCTCCACCGGAATCGAAGCACCGTTCAGCAAACACGACGCCGTCTGCACTACCAACCTCAAAGCCCTATCCCCAGGCCCACCACTAGCCTCCCGACCCACTCCTCCACCTCCTCCCTTGGGCCGGCCCATGGGCTTCACAAACACGACGATCTCCGCAAACTCATGGACCCCGTACTCGCTCAGGTTCCGGAAATCGTCCTCCAGCTCCACCCCTGAGTAGAAGAGCGACATCCGAGTAGCACCACCACTAGGGGCCGCGACCACGTGGATCTTCTCCTTGAGGCTTTTGACGGTGTCCGACGTGTCGACCTCGACAGTGGTGACGTGGCGGGACGGGAGCTTGACGGTGATAGGGATCTTCTTGCTGGCGGCGAGAGGATGATGATGACAAGGCAGCATTGGTTTGACGGTGAGGTCGATTCTGGTGCCGTTGGTGACGATTGGGTAGTCTTCCATGTCGAGCCCGTCGATTAGCTCCCAGCCGAAGATGGACAGCGTCTGTGCCGGAGCCGGGACGCCGAGGAGCTGCTCCATCTTGCGCTTGATCTCGAGGACGGGCTCTCGATCGCTGATTTCGATGGGGAATTCGTGGGAGCAGGCGACGATTGTGACCTTCTTCATTATTGGTTAGTTGCTTGCTTCTGTTTTCGGCTATGAGGAGATGAAGGAGGGAGAAGGTTAGAGATTAATTATGCTGTGTGTTGGTACATTTGTTTGAAGTCTATAGGAAAGGGAAGGTAAGGAGGAGTTCATAACATTGTGATTGTGACTTCCACAATTTACATGCAGAATATGCTTGGGATGGGGAACATTCATGTTTTACGTTCCACAATGTGTCAGAAAAAGCAGTTCAAACTGATGTAATGATCAGTTATGTTACATCCAGTTAGTTACTTTTGGGTATGATTTGAACGGTTTTTTCAGTTAGCTGCCAGCAAAGGGGAGAAAAATGGCTGTCCAGAGAATAGGGTTGTGCCTCTTTTCTTGCTTGCTCGAACCTGGACCAGACCAGTGGAACCGGTTTGTAAATCGGTTACTAGTAGGAGAGCTGTCCTCTCCTATAATGCAGAGATCATAGCTTATCAGATGGTTCACAAGGGTCGTCTCTGAGGATCGATGATATCAAAACTGAGATTGAGAATGCAGGAAGGATAATCACACAATTCCCTCTTAGACTAATATATTTACAGAAGGAAACTAATTAATAGTTAATCCCGGACTGACTTGACTTACCTTTGAATTATTAAACGAAGAAAAAAAAAAAAAAAGCGATCCCTTTCTCTCAACTTTCCCCTCTCTGCGAGTGGGTCGAAGTTTACGCCATCGTGCGTCCTCGCCGATAACGGCCTCCGCCATCGTGTGGCGCCGGAGAAGGGGACCTCGCCATGGAGGTTATAAAAGGACCTCCATGGTTACTCTCCAAGTATCCTCCTTCACCCTCTCCAAATATCGAAACTCAATTTACTGAAATTGTGCTACGAGCGAAACCTAATTCCTGCTCAAAAATGGCGCTTGTCCGATTCTCAGATGCCGATGTGGCGGCAGGAGCGCAGCGAGGCGAACTGACACTGGTGGGGCGTATCTGCGGGGCTCCGCCGGCGCTGCATTCACTGAAGGCGACGATGGGCAGATTGTGGAACTGCGTTGGGGAATTCTCGATGGTGCCGCTGGGTTGGGGACTGATACAGATCGTGTTCTCATCTTTGGCAGATGCGAAGCGGACCGTGAAGGAGGCACCATGGATCCTTCCGAAATTCCTCCTACACTTGACAAAGTGGGCTTCTCCTTCACAGGAGTTGGCGGACTCCCTTACCTGTGTCCCTCTCATGCTTCAACTGTGGGGCATTCCTTTTGAGTGCCTGACTGAGAGACTGGGCTCGCTGCTGGGCGCATCCCTAGGACCAGCAGACCCAGCCACGATTCACCAATCGGAGTCATCAGGAGGGCTATTCATCCAAGTCCGAGTCACGCTAGACTTGACCAAGCCTCTGCCCGATGAGATTCCGGCGGAACACGAAGACGGCGGGAAAGGGGTTTTCAAGGTGATGGTTAAGTATACGAAACTCCCCCAATTTTGCTATTTATGTGGTATCATTGGGCACATAGGGCAAAGCTGCCCACAGAAGGCAGAATTGGAGGGCAAACCTCCCAGATATGGACGTCACACTGTGAGTCAAGAGAAGGGGCCTCGAGTGAGTGAACTGGCCCTAACCCGGCGCAAGAAGAGATTCTCCTGGGCTCGTCAGATGATCACCGCTGATCCGGGGACTGGATTGTGGGGAGTTTCGTCTCCCAAATCTGGTGCTCTGGTTGTCAACTCGCGGATGAAAGCACTTTCCATTGAAAGGAGGCCAGATGCTGAACCACGTTTCATCCCAAAGTCAATGGCGCAATTCCAACAGATAGGGGAAGATAGCCGTGAAGAAGGTGAAATCATGATCTCGGAGGAGCCAGCCCCAAAGAGAGTCTGTACAGGGAAAGCTCTGGTTGTTACTATGGCGACATCAACTACAAGGGTGGAGGAAACCAGCCCCGACTGGTCCCAGCTGGATAAATGAGCTTCCTGGCTTGGAACTGTCGGGGATTAGGTTCTCTCCTGACGGTTCCATCTCTTCGTGAAGTCATTCGACGCTTTCTACCATTCCTCTTGTTTCTGAGTGAGACGAAAAAAGCGGATGACTTTGTTGAGAATCAAGTTCGTAGCTTAGGATTTGCTGAATTGAAAATGTTTAATAGCTTTAGTGGAGGCAGCGGATTAGCTGTTGCTTGGTCGGAGTCAGTTGCCTGTACAGTTTTAGATGCTACACCGTCTTATTTAGTTGTTGAGTGTCAGCATCCTCCTTTAGGGAAGTTTGCAGTAATCTTTGTTCATCTCAGCTGCGATGTAGGTGCTCGTCAGGTTCAACTTAATGAAATTATCATGTTTGTTTTGTCGTGTCCATTACCATTGTTTGTGGCAGGAGATTTCAATTGCCTCTTGTCCATGGCAGACAAGGTGGGGGGTCGTCCTCTAGCACCCGCTGCCTTGGATCAATTGGGCGACTTTCTCCACGCAACTAACCTCACAAACTTGGGCTGTATCGGGTCCCCTTATACGTGGTCTAATAGGCAATCAGGTTCGAAACAGATCCTGGAAAGACTTGACCGATGCCTAGCTAACAATCTGGTTTTGTGTTCCTGGCCTGATGTGCAGGTACATCACTTGACAGACCTAGGATCCGATCACCGTATGTTGCTGATCCGCTTTACTAAGACTCCGGAGTCTCGGCCACGACGGTTTCAGTTTGACAAGAGGTGGACGACAAACCCTGAAGTACCAGGAATTTTTGAAACTGCGTGGGCTAAGAGAGTTCAAGGAACGACTCAATTTCGAGTACAGACACAGCTAAAGCACCTGCGCCATGATTTAGTGGGATGGGCTAGCAAAGGGACCTCCAACTCGGCAAGACAAATACGTACACTTCGGCAGACTATTGAAGAAGCGAGAGAGAGCCCTGTAGTAGACTTGGACCACATAAAGGCACTTGAAAATCAGCTGGGAGGTGCATACAAACAGGAAGAAGCATTTTGGAAACAAAAATCCAGAGTGGGAAGGCTTCGAAAAGGTGATGCCAACACAGGATTCTTCCACCTCACAACGATGCAACGACGCCGGAGGAATGCCATTCTGACTTTATGTGACGATGAAGGAGTCGTACATACTCAGGAAGATGCAAAAGCAAATGTGGCCATTACGTTTTATCAACGGCTGTTCACGTCCAACGGCTCTGACCCAAGAGACTTTGTGAGACAATTAGGGCTGCCAAGAGTGGTGGATGATTGAATGAAGCACTTACAGCACCGGTCACACATGAGGAGATACGGCGGGCTGTATTCAGCATTGGGAAAACCCAAGCTCCAGGATCAGATGGGTTCACGGCAGCCTTCTTCCAACACTTTTGGGTGAATATAGAAGCTGATGTGTGTGCTGCAGTTCTGTCTTTCTTCAGTTCCGGCCGATTACTCCACAGCATCAACCATACTTGGCTTGCATTAATTCCAAAAGTTCCAAATGCAGACACTATGCGCCAGATGAGACCCATCAGCTTGTGCCAGGTTTTGTACAAGATTATAGCAAAAATTCTTGCTAGCCGATTGAGTAACCTGTTGCCGGATATTGTTAGTCCTTTCCAGAATGGATTCATTAAAGGTAGAGCTATTACTGACAACATTTTAATTGCCCAAGAGATTATGCAGTTCTTGAAGACTAAGGTGCAGGGTAAAGAAAAGTGGATGGCACTAAAGCTGGACATGGAGAAAGCATACGACCGGGTGGAATGGAGCTTTTTGTTTGCAGTTTTGGAGGAAATGGGGTTCGCTCAGGGCTGGCTACGATGGATCAGATCCTGCGTTACCACTGTCAACTTTTCAGTGCTCATGAACGGGGTGGAGTTTGGATACTTTCGTCCGCAGCGAGGTATACGACAAGGTGATCCTTTATCCCCTCTGTTGTTTGCCTTGTACTCGGAAGCTTTCTCTTCGAAAATTATTTCTGAACTTGCCTCGTCCTCCCTGCATGGGTTACGAATTCACAAGCTAGCTCCGGTAACTTCCCACCTCTTTTTTGCCGATGATACCTATTTATTCATACGTGCCTCCATTCCCGAATGTGCTAACCTTCTTAATATGCTTTCTGAATACGAAACCATGAGTGGGCAGCGTGTGAATTTGCATAAGTCTGCTGTCTGTGTGAGCAATAATGTTTCAGATATGGAGCTTGATGCCATCACATCCTTCTTGGGGGTTAAAAAGATGAGCATGGCTGACAAGTACCTTGGCTTACCATCCCAAATCCACCGTTCAAAACAAATGACCTTTCATTTTGTTGAGGAAGCCTTGGCGAACCGGATTAGGAGCTGGAAATCAAAGAAATTGTCACTAGCCGGTAAGGAGGTTGTTATTAAGGCGGTGGGTTCAGCAGGACCAATCTACGCGATGTCATCATTTCGCCTTCCTTCCTCGACCTGTCGTCGATGTAACAGCCTGCTCTCGAGATTTTGGTGGGCTGGGCAAGACAAAGAGAACGGAATCAGATGGATTTCGTGGACAGCAGCATGCCAGAGTAAGTTTGACGGCGGATTGGGATTTCGCGATTTTGATCGATTTAATGTTGCTCTGCTTGCGAAACAGGCTTGGAGGATTCTTAAACAGCCGGGAAGTGGTCTTGGGAAATTGTATAAGGCAAGGTATCATCCTCATCACCATTTCCTAGATGCTAAAGCTGGCGCAAGGCCGTCATGGGCTTGGCAAGGGATCCTAGAAGGCCGTGACCTACTTAAACGCGAGCTCAGATGGCAGGTTGGCTCTGGCGATTCTATTCGAGTCTTAGAGGACTGCTGGTTACCGACAACTCCCCCGTCAAGACCTGCCCTCCTGCCCCACATCACAGAGGTTCCACGGTACGTGAATGAATTAATTTGCAGTGAAACTAGAACTTGGAAAAGAGAGGCAGTATCAACCTCCATTACTTCTAGTCTTTTAGATAACATTTGACATTCAAAGCGCAGGGTTATCATCTTTATCAACCCCATGTTTCACTCATTGCCTTTTCAGTTTGGGGTCAATGCAACCATGCTTTCCATCTCCATTGCATTTTGAAATGGGTCAACTCGCAGACTTCTCAAGCTCACTGCCCTATGTGCCGTGCAGAATGGCGGTTCAAAGACTGAAAACACCCATCCAACCGCTGCTGTTAGCTTTCTTCCTCTCTAACTGGTGTCTGTGCTCTTTTGTTGTTGTGGTAAAAACAACTGGGGTATATGTCATCTATAAGATATCAGGTCTTTCAGAGAGTTAGCTCTGAGCCACAACTGATATTCTTTAATGGAGAGGTACCTAATTAGATATGCTGTTAAACAACTTACGATGTCAAAACTTCACATTCTTGTGCCAGATCAACTCTAACATCTATCTAGTCTTTAACCAAAACACATATAAACTCATTGAACCATGCATGGACGTGTGAAAATCAAAAGTGACATCCTTTGCTCACTAATCAGTTCTGTTCGAGCTATCCGTGTTTTGGCAGCAGGCAGATAGGACTGAGGTCCCAGGGGTATGAATTTGAGAAGGGTAAGCTGGAGGTAGGGATGGCAACAAAACCCGAACTCACTGGTACCCACCCGACCCAACCCGATCAACGCGGGTAAAATCCGTGTTGACAGGTTTTGGGCCGGGTTTGGGTTTAAACATGTTCACTATTCATTGGGTTGGGTTGGGTTTGGGTTTAGGTAAACCCGACCCATGGGTACCCGTCCTCACCCATATAATTAATTTTTCGGTATATTTAATATTCTAAACAACTAATCTTATTTATGTTTGTGGAGAAATGTCTAATTTTTTCTTTCTAATTGTGTAGAATGAAGTTGATGTTATCGAGTGGAGAGTGAAGAAACTTAATTGAAAGGAAGAACCTTTCAATTAATCATGTTAGTTATGGATAATTTGTGATTTGGTTCAATTTTCTTGAGTTTTCTAGATTGGTGTTGAACAATTTGTATAGTTAATTTGTGATTTGCTTGAATATTTTAGAATGGTGTTTTATATATGGATAATTTGTATTGAGAGATTGATATTTGACTTTAATTTTGATAGGAACTTGTTATTATAAATTTTTACGACAAAAACCCGTGGGTACCCCTGAACCCGTGGATACCCAGCGGGTTGGGTTGGGTTTGAGTTTTTCAAACCCAATGGGTTTTACCTCGGGTTTTTTTTCACGGATAAATGGGTTTGGGTTTGGAAAAACCCGACCCATTGCCATCCCTAGCTGGAGGCAAGATCAAGTGATTATGGGTGGTGAAAACTTTAGTGTTTAAGAGTGCATGACTATGGGTGGTGAAAACTTTAGTGTTTAAGAGTGCATGACTGTCAATTTGGTTTGGTTTTGTTCACCAAACCATTAAGTATGAAAAACCAAAAACCAAATCAGCAAAAACCAAAACCAAAACCATTAAGGCCTTTATTGGTTTCGGTATGCGGTATGCCTATGGTGACATGCATATCACCATAACTTGTACTTTTATGTCGACTTTATATAGGATTAGGTCGACCTATTATGCCGTTTTAGTTTTGTGAGGTTCAATGACGCGGTTGACCTTTTATAGCAAATGGTCGACCTCTTGGGAAGCGCATGGATGACATGTACGACTACATGGGCCAGATTTCCACCCAAATGACTGACATGTACGACTACATGGTGCAAATAATCACCCAGATGAGCACATTGTAGGTGACCGTGAATGAGATGCGAGATGAGTTTCGATCTTTCAGTGGAAGATACATGCATGTACCGTTACTTCCGACTACCATATTGCTAACAATACCAATGAAGAAAATGTGGATGAGGGAGAGAGGGGACAGGAGTAGGAACTCGACGATTTTAGATTGTATGTTTTTATTGTTAAGTGTTAAAAACGATTGTGGATTGATATTATGTGGTTTTAGATTTTAGTTATGTGTGAACAATTATGATTTGTGTTTTATTGTATTTCTAGTTAGTTTGTTTAGTTATTATGTTATGAAGTTATTAATCCTTGTTATCATTATTTATGACTGGTTCTGTTGGTTTGAAACGTAATTTGTACGAGCAAAAGAACTACCAACATCGCTCCCAAAGAGGTCGACCATTGGTTATAAAAACGATTGTGGATTGATATTATGTGGTTTTAGATTTTAGTTATGTGTGAACAATTATGATTTGTGTTTTATTGTATTTCTAGTTAGTTTGTTTAGTTATTATGTTATGAAGTTATTAATCCTTGTTATCATTATTTATGACTGGTTCTGTTGGTTTGAAACGTAATTTGTACGAGCAAAAGAACTACCAACATCGCTCCCAAAGAGGTCGACCATTGGTTATAAAAGGTCAACCGCATTGTTGAACCTCATAAAACCGAAACAGCCTATTAGGTTGGCCTAATCCTATATAAGGTTGACCTAAAAGTGCATATTAGGTAGACCTAATCCTATAAAAAGCCGACCTTAAAGTGCAAGTTACGGTGACAAAGTCCTAATGGGTTTTGGTTTTGGTTTGGATAACCAAAAAACCAAATGTACTCATACACTCATATTTATTTATATTTCCCTCCTTTTTATTCAATAAATGTCATAATAATGGTAAATGATAAAATGACCATTATAAATTATTGATTGGCATGCGTATATAAAGAAACAAAAAAACTTGTTTATAAATAATAATAATATTATTATTTGTACATTCTTATAAAAAAGTTATACTTACCAACATTAGGCGATAGAATAGAATTAGTCTAAATATTGTATTTTACTAATTTTGAGTCTAAAATGTACCTTTACTTTATACTAGAAATGGTATTACCAACATTATATCCTTCCAGTAGTACTAATACGTTTAAGACTAATAACATACAATGTCAACTATAGATAACAATATTGATGAACATATAGAAGCAAATAATTGTATTTGTCTAAAATAAATTAGAAATCAACATCACTACCATCATCACTCCACCTCACCTCATCAAACTCTACATCCACACAAGTCTCATAATTCCCATCAGAATCCTCATCAATATAATCTTCTTCAACTTGTGACCCAGTAGGGCTCGAGATCAGAACATGGGCAGAATGTGAGCTTCCACTAGGTTCTGCAGGTGCACTTGCACTTCGAGTTTGAAAAGCTGCAAATACTAGATAACATAAACAATAAATTTTTAGAATATGATTTGATTACGATAACAAATATAAAAATAAACATAAGTTCTTACCATTCTGAAATACAACTTCATCACCCTCATCTTCTCC